ATTTGATATGAAATGAATAAATGAAATAGGAACAAACAAAATTCCAGACTTCTCTTATGGTTCTTATTGTTTAAATGTGTACCACAGCATCTTTTAAAGTTATTACAAAATGGCCAGAAAACAAACAAATCCAATATATCTTTTAACACCAATGTGTATTGGTGTTAATCAGATTATTTCCTTGCAGTTACAAAGAAGAATCACCCTGTACAGATGTTTCAGATGCTTCCTTCATGACCACAGTTATACACCCCCCACCCACACATATTAACAAACAAAACCTTTCAGAGAACAATTTACAAAGTAATGAAAGGTATGTCAGACAGGAAGGGTCTGAAGGATTTCCTTTCCCCCCCCCCTTCAGAATTTGCATCGTAGCTCTGTCTTAAGGACACGAGACTGTTTAAGTCATTGCTACTGGAATAAACTGCCCCATGCAACCTATAAAATACTCTAGGCCAGCCATTCTCAACCTTTTTCGGCCACAACCATAAACATAATGTTAAGAAATATAGGCTGAGTCAGGATTGTCTGTGTTGCATAATGAAGCTTATAAGGTAATGGGTGAACATTGTTTCCAGTCTGTGGCCCCTTCAAATACGCCAGTGTCCCTCTTGAGAATGGCTGCTCTAGGCAATCTCAAATATTTAAATTGATTACATATTCCACTACTAAAAGATTAATCTAAGTCTAAGGTTTGGTTTGCCTCTTAAACTCCCTTCTGTAACTCACTTCCTCGTTTTGTTAAAATGATACTCGTGAGTATCATGGTAAATATCTCCTAATATCATTACTTCCCTTTCCCAGAGACCAACCTATGATGAAAATCTGGGTCGCAGGCTTCAGGGACCAACCAGTGACACCCCAATCTACAACTTCACAGCTCAGGATATATCTAAGGTACAGCTGTGCTAAACCACTCATGCGTGGCCCCATATGAAAAACTAATCACTAAAACCTGAAGTTCAGCTTCTTACCGTCAGTTCAATGTGCGGAGAAGGGAAGAGAGGGCTGGGAAAGAGGCGTTATTTTTCACAGAAAATAATTCAGTGATCATTCCTCATAATTAGTGTTAATAGTATGAAGACAACTTAACATATTAAGACAAAGATGTGAGGAGAGGTTTGAGAAGATCCTGCCCATCAGAAGTCAGATATCTAGGCTACGCCATGACAACGGAATGGAACATCAGGTCCAGCTCTGCCATTAAGCAAGCTGAAGTGGCTAATAGACCATTTTCTGTGTTGTAAAAAAGCAGCATTTTTGTTTCTTGGTATTTAAGATATTGTGATCGTATTTTTCACGCCACGAATAGGAGAGGGCATGAGTGGGGTTTTTCTTCTTTCTTTGCCACAATAATTTGCTGGGGTTTTTTGTCTGCAGTGCACCAGTCCACCCTGGTGGAGAGTGGCATTCATTGCTTTGCCTCAAGAAGAACTTGGGCCAACTATGAGGATGTGATCATTTTCTTAGTGAGGGCCGCAGTGCCATGTTTGAACGTCTCCTTGGAAAATAAATCCTGTCGTATTCAAAGGGAGCACAGTGAGGGAAATGGGATTATACAGTACTTGCATTCATTTCCCCAGGTGTCTCCGCGTTAACTGGCCATACAAAGAGAGACAGGAAGCCTTTTTTCCAATAGACCAGCAGGTGGTGCAATTAAAAGGCAACAGCCTGACACATTGATCAAGACTTCTTACAGCCTGTCCAGACCAGGGAAGTTGGAGCAGTCTGGTTTGCATTTAAAAGGTTTTTAGTGCAATCTGTTTCATCTCTCATTTGAGCAACCCTTCTGTTCCCACTGTGGGAAGGGACTCCAGACAGTTCTTTGGATCACTCCAATGTGTCCCTCTTTCAATTAATGACATTCCCCTTTCCACCACCTTCCCTGCCTTCTCCTGTGGCCATTATTTAGTGGGCTGTGGAGACTTTTCTTTTGTTGTTGTTAAATAAAGTAAGTGATATAGTAAAACAGGAATGCATCTGCCTAGCAGGGTACACATAATGATGCCAATGTATCTTGTTTATCTCGAATAGTGCTGCATCAATAGGGAAATGTGTTTTTAAAAGTTTAAAATGGTAGCATAGATCAAAATACTGGGGGATTATCTCCATCATCCCTTTCAATGGCACAATCTTCCAAATATGTCACAGGGTTGTCACCTAAAATAACACTGCCAACAGTTCTATTTTGGCATAGACTAACCATCCGCACAGGCTATAGAATGGGTTAATTAGTAATCAGCCTTTCACAAGATGGTGCCATTCAGATATATTTAGGTGTCTACTCTGAATCACCCGGGGAGGGAACACCTGTAGCCCTATTGCTGTTCCCAAAAGGAGCAAGAGAGCTCTTAAAAGGGGCAGGATGGATCATTCTAACGTCAAAATACGGATGGACACCGTAAGCCAAACAGTACCAAAAGCAATCCAAATTGTGAGCTCTTCCACCAATAAACACACGCCTATAATCTTATTAGCTTTGCTATGAATTGTAAAAATGCAAGAGACTATGCCCTTAATTGTTTTCCAACATGAGGAAAAAAGGGGGGAATCAAAGAGCACGTCGGGAGGGAACTAAACTCAAGAAAGGTGCTCCAGTCTTCTTTCTCCTCAACTAAATAGAGACCAGACTGTGTACTAAGCAAGCTCAACGCCCTTCTTCATTTCAAAGTGTGCCGACTTCAGGGGAGTGGGAAGTCTTGCCAAATGGACTTTGCAGCGTGGGTGCCGACTTCCTCCTCTATACCCTACAGAGACAGAAGTTGTAAAGAAAAACAAAAAAAGGAGAAGGGGTGGGGGTGCAACCCAGTTCATCTTCTCCATAAGACAAGAGGTGAGGGAGAAGGGGTGTGCCTCTGTGCTGCCAGACGGTTCGGCGGCTTGTGCCCATCTCTACTCCTCTTCCCTTTTCTGCATTGGGTTCAGATGGCCACGTGCCTCGACTGGCTTTGAAGGGATTCAAATGTTTTCCAAAAGAGTAGGAGAGGGAAAGCTTTGGATTGGGTGAGGACAGAGACTCGAAACTGTTTTGTATTTGTATTTCCCTTTGCATCATGTAGTCAAAAAGAAAGAAAGAGAGAAAGAAAAAGAAAGAAAGGTGAATCACCCAGCCCCAAACCTGTAGTATGTCCTGCAATTTTTTCCTGTGGTAGTCAGTCTCTTACCCTCTGGGTAAATATTCTGTGTGTCTAGTTTGCTGAAGCAGGGGAAGCAAAAGGGAGAAACAGGACAGAGGAAGTAACTTTATATTTTTCTTTGAAAGACGGAACCCCCTTCCTTGTGACTCATTCCTTCCTACAGGAGCTGACAGGGTCCTAGCAGGAGGGTGGAGGCAATGGCCTTTGCTCCCATATGGGTCTTAAGCATGTTTGTGTTGACGTGGGGCACAAAAGAGGCAAACCTGCTGTCTCTGTTTCTGTCAGCTGTAGCAAGACTTCTGGTACAAAAAAGGCATAGCAGAGTTTTCCTGCCTCCCCACAGCTTCAACTGTGAGGGCTACTAAAGAATAGCCTGGGCTATATGCATTTACTTTTAAATGTGTACAAAGTTTTAAAATCTGGGTTGGGATTCATGTGGGCAGGCGAGGAAGGCTTGAACTTTGTCCCTGTCAGCGGCTCCTTTCCTTAAATTCATCTCAACTCCTGACAAGGCCTAAAAAGGTAATAAGTGTTTAGCACTTCATGAAGAATATTCGTACCAAGAAGTATTTAGTAGTTTTCAGCAAACTAGCTAAAGACTTTCCTTCCATTGTTGTTTTTCAGGAATATAAGATTTCCAGCTTTGAACAGAGGTTGATGAATGAGATAGAGTTTCGCCTTGAACGTACTCCAGTGGATGAATCAGATGATGAAATCCAACATGATGAGATTCCTACGGGAAAGTGCATTGCCCCAATCTTTGACAAGAGACTCAAGCATTTCCGGGTCTTGGAAGGCTCTCCTGTCACCTTCAGCTGCAAAATTGTTGGAATCCCCATTCCCAAGGTAGGCAGTGCCCCAGAATGAGGGCATGGTTGTGGCTCTTCTCTAGTGTTCTCCATGTCACTGGCTTTGATCCTCTGTCCCTGTGAATGGAGCACCGCTTGCATGGTGTTCCCACTCCCCAAAACCCTGGAGACTATGACCCCTTATGCTCCCTTCTCTTTGCTCCCCCTGACACCTAGGGACAGCAAGGGATTTTGCGGCTGCTGAGGAAGTATCTATTTGCACCTCCTGTGATTATTTTTGTAAGAAGAAACACACCTTGCCTCAAGAATAATGCACATTTGCAAGGCTTTCAGGGCATTTCAGAAAAATAAAATGTTTGCAAAACAATGTGCACTTTTTAAACTTTGTGCATGATTGAAAATGTATATACAAACATGCCTAGAGAAGTGCACAATTGATTTGCAAATTCAGCAGAGAAGTTAGGTTAAAATGTGCAGCTTAGCCACGTAATGATATTAGGAAATTCAAAACTGGTCCTATGTGGAAGGGGTGAAGGAGGAACCAAGGACTGTGCTTTTAAAGAGCCTGTTAGGGTATGTGAAGGGAAAAACCAGAAGTACCGGGTCTTTCTGGTGGAGCCGTCTCTCATAAAGACTTCCAAACAAACTCAGACTAGTCCACCGACTACCCTAAGTCGTAAAAGAGATCAAGGCTCAGATACTCGGGATTTAGAAGAGGCAAATCCGCAGGGGAAAGGGGTGTCAAAAGCAGTGGACACCCGAGAGCTGGAAGAGAGATGGAAAGGGTTAAAAATAACTAATCCTTTTAAGGAAGAATTGGCGGGAAGGAAGGAGGTTCATGAGGTGGTGGAAGAAGGCGGACTGGGGGAGATCCAGGCAGAACAGGACTTCATGAGGTGGTGGAGGAAGGGGGGCTGGGGGAGATCCAGACAGAACGGGACATCATTCCTGGAGGTTGGGAATGGATATGGTTGCAGGACCCGTGGACGGGAAAATGGGAACAAGTCCGGGTGCCTAAAACTGAAGCGGAGAATCAGAGGAAGAAAGGATTACCCCAAAAGCCATCGTATTGGGGTGAGTCCGAAACTCGTAAATGGAGAAGAAAGATTAGAGAGCAGAAGGAAGCCATCGATAGGGAAAAAGAGGCTCACCGGGAATGGCATTTAGAAGAACTGAGGAAGATGGGGTGCTTCCTGGACCTTGGGGTGAACAGACAAGAGAGGGAGACCGTCCTGGGGATGGACGGGAGATGAAGAGACCCTCCCGCTTCTAAGTGCAACTGATCAAAGTTTAGGAACTGAGAGTCAGGGACATGTTTGTGCCGGTCCATGGGACCAGAGTTTGGGAAACGTTCTGGAAGAAAGCTTTCTGGTGCCCTTGCGAGAGCCGTTGCTTGAATAAGCGTCTAGTTTAAACAAACATGTTATGGTTAAAACCCCATTGGGTGAAGCAATAAATGAACAAAAGTTATTTGATAAACCGTCTGGTGATGTTTTATTGAAGATGAGGGAAGCCCAATCACACGACCCTTCACAGGATAGTCTTGATGTGCCGTAGCTTTTAGATATTTTTTTTTTTAAATGAAAGCTTCTTCCTAGAATGAGGAAGAAACAGGAGGCGGAAAAGAAGTTGAATTTTTGTTGTTGCTGTTGCTTTCTTGCTTTCTTTCTTTCCCTTTAAAGGGATGTGGGCCAAATAGGGTCAATGGGAGTGCATATGCCATGTGGATGCAAAGATCACACCAAATGGCAAACTGCATCTGGACATGACCTTAAGCAATGCTGGTTGGCTTGATTCAACCTGCTTCAGTTTAGTGGGAAATTAACAACAGCAATCCAGTCTCACAGGCCTTAAGTTGATAACGAGTGTAGTGTAGTAGTGGACAGAGTGACAAGCTAGACTCAGAAGATGTGGACTTGAATCCCCACTGAACCATGGCAGCTTGGGAGTCTGAGGATGAAACTAGTAAAACCACTTCTAAAATGCATCACATACCACTATGTTGGTTCAGACTTGACAACACATAACTATCAAGTTAGTAGATGGGATCTGTGAGTATAGAGACAGAGACACTATGAGGAATGAATCTGTTTATATGGTTTAAACCTAGATTGAGAGTATTACAATTACAATAAAAAGGAACTACAACCATGTGTATTATTGTAATAGAGAATGACAAGAAGTAAGTGATATGCAATGTCATAAATTGCATATACTGTAGTAGACTTGTGTTTATTTTAAATGATATCCATGTGTGTAATTTGAAACATAATAATATTAGTACAAACAACGAAAATTCAGTCTTGAAAAGATCCTACTGGCAGCAATATCCTGAAAAGAACTGGGGGTCTGCTTGTGTTTCCTTCTCAATTTTCTCTGGGGCAAGAACATTTCTAATGTTGCAGTTGAAGCTAGTTATCAGTGGTTGAATTGCCATTGTGCTGATGAAATCATACATTGCATTAAAGTGAGTCATGTGATTGACTCAGCCAGTCCAACAATCTTTTATCCCATGATATGGAGCAAGAGTGAAACTAAAGGGACAGTGCCTTCTGTTGACCTCACAAATTAATTCCAACTATGAGATTTGAGGACCAGTGCTGAGGAAACAGAAATGCAAAGCTGCTGTTGTAATTACACCCCGCTTGCAGATTTCCCATAGGAATCTGATTGACCACTATGGGATCTGAATGCTCGATTAAATGGACCTTTGGACTGATCCAAACACTTCATATTCTCTTGTAAGTAAGAGAACAGTTTACTGCAAGTGAACCATTGCACAGTTTAGTCTCCTGTAGGCCTCGATTAAATGGACCTTTGGACTGATCCAACCAAACACTTCATATTCTCTTGTAAATAAGAGAACAGTTTACTGCAAGTGAACCATTGCACAGTTTATTCTCCTGTAGGCCAAAGGTAAGCCCTGTTTACTAAGATATAAACCTACTGAGCTCATGTGGACTTTGCCCGCCCAGCCAGGAATAACGAGACAAGACACCAATTATGGATTAAACTAGGGCCACCACTTTATTAACTTATTGAACTTCCCCTTTCACAAGGGGGCCTGCTGTAGTGCAAAGAGGTCTAGCCCCAGCCTCAATCCAGCTCGGCCAATCCACTTTTACCCCAGTTGGTTCCTACGCCAAAAGCGCACTGTACTATTCAGCACGTGCTTGGTCCTCCATGCAGGAGTCCCCAGAGGCCACCTTACCTGAGACTCAAGCTCCTATATGTCTAGCGTCCCCTGGGTTCCCCTTGATTCCACTCTGCTAAACCTCTGTTAATGCGATTTTTGAGAGGAGGGATGCCTTGCACCCTCTATGTCTCTCACCTGAAACTCACCTAAATATATCTTGTTTAGCACTACCCATTGATGAGCACTAGGGGCTACACCGTATGCCAGACCTGGGCAAACTGTGGCCCTCCAGATGTTCCTGAACTGCAAATCCCAACATTCCTCACTGTGTGGGCTAGGCCCAACTCTCCTCACACTATTGGCTGGGTGGGCTAGGAATTTATTTATTTATTTATTTATTGGACTTATATACCGCCCCATAGCGCTACAAGCACTCTCCGGGCGGTTTACAATTTTAATTATACAGGCTACACATTGCCCCCCCAGCAAGCTGGGTACTCATTTTACCGACCTCGGAAGGATGGAAGGCTGAGTCAACCTTGAGCCGGCTACCTGGGATTTGAACCCCAGGTCGTGAGCACAGTTTTAGCTGCAGTACAGCGTTTTAACCACTGCGCCACGAGGAGTTGCAGTTCAGCAACATCTGGAGGGCCGCATTTTGCCCACCCCTGTATGCTCTGTGCCCCCCACCAAGCTGAAAATTTCAGCCCTAAGGCCCCCTTGCAAATCCTGCAATAAGATATCTAAACCTAAGTCTGATAAATATACCCCATCTCCTCGGTATAACTCTGAACAGCTAACCTTAATGTCAGGATGTGCTACCACTGACCCCCATCCTGCACTTATGGCCCTTCCAACTTCACTATTCACCCCTTTCCGGGCCTTATTGGTGCATCTGGGTCACATCTGGCTACCTCCACACCTTGCGTGGGATGCTTGATGACCAAAGTATACATGGTTTTTGAGAAAATAGTCACAAAGGCTCTTAGGCCTGCAATCATTCTCGCTATCAGCAACTTGCCCGTTCCCTGGGTCAAGTACTTACCACCAAGGTGGACCAACACAATATCAGGGGGCACATCCGGAGTACCCTGGGATGCCAATTCGAAGAACTACTTGCTTTTTCTCACAATCCAGACCTGACAGGCGGGCAAAGAAGCCCTGCCCGGGCAGCTCCGCGCCTTCGCAGAGGGCCCTTCTCTGAGGAAACTGTGCACTGGATTACAGCCTTAGTTAAACCATTGTGTAATATCTCTGCCCTTCCACCTTTATAATCCCACTAGGTATATTGGTTTAAAGATGGTAAGCAGATTTCAAAGAAAAATGAACATTACAAGATGAGCAGAGATGGTGATGGGACATGTTCTTTACATATCGAAGCTACTACAAGCGATGACGACGGAAACTACACATTCATGGCTGCAAATCCACAGGTGACTACCCTTTCCTCTGTTAAAAATAATTTAAAAATGTATTCCTTTCATCCAAGCTGTAAGAGAGATGTGTACAAACGAGGATTGTTTGGGAAGGCCCAATGGACAACTGTTGTATTATGAAATGTTTGTTCAGTCTTGAATCCTGCAAGACAAGAGTAGAGGAAAGTACAGAAATAAAGGAGGATGTAGGCCTGGTCAGAATTAAATAATATTCCTTCTCTCCTGCATTGTTCTGGCAGGGACGAATCAGCTGCTCTGGTCACCTGATGGTTCAGACTCCTCCATTACGTGGGAGATTAACAACAGCAATCCAGTCTCACAGGTAAAAAAAAATTAAAATAATCTGATGCTTGCTCTATAGATTGTATGGTCAGTATAAGTGTGCTTGGCAAAGGTAATGCGGGCCCATAATGCTACTTGGTGTCTAAAGGGTATTGATTGGGGAAAGGTGTTTTCAGGACAGAGATTTGAGATTTCAAGATGGCTTGGCAACCATAGTTTCTGACATTGAAACCTACAAATCTTGTCCTACATTCACCAATCAATGTGGCTCCACATTTACCATTTTGCATTACAGGGGAAGATCCCGAATACCTGAAGGAGATAAGGAACCTGTACAGGAGCGTTTTTTCCGGCCCTATTTTCTGCAGGCACCTGGCGACATGGTTGCTCACGAAGGACGGCTTTGTAGACTAGACTGCAAGGTACTTGGGTTAGCTAGTGCTTTGTGTGTGTGTGTGGTGAGTTTTCTGTTCAATGCAGGCTAGGTTCACTTCTTTAGGGGTGGGGAAAAGCAATTATCTATATGCAGCTCTTTAAAATGTGGATTTTGTGGAAGATTTCAACTGGCAGAAAATCATAGGCCTCAACCAGACCAGAGAACCCGAAGGTCATCGCCTCCAAACATAAAAGGAAGCCGTGTGATTAATATGAAATACAAATGCAAGAGTAAGTGATACCTTTATAGACCATTAAAATCATCATGCAATATGTGAGCTTTTGTGGATTAACACCACTTCATCAGGCTTGCACCAGTGTGAAGAATTTAAAGTCCAAAAGTTCATGGCAAGATGGATTTCAGCAGGCATGTTTTTCTTAAATATAAGTCAGGAAAGATGCAGAGTCCTTGCTTTAAAGTTATAGCTGAGGCAGCTGTGCATTGGGTGTCACACCCAGTTCTTCAAACAAAGAGCCGCTTGCCTTAACCGAAGAGGAAGTGATCAGAGGCAAAGGCAAAGCTGGTTGAGATACCTAAAGCCCATTTGGCTGCCTAAAAGGGTTTTGCCTTACACTGGCTACTTTCAACTGCATTTGCTCAACAGACAGGAGAGGGGAATGTGTGAATTCTAGACTTATTGAGGCTAATTCACTTAGCAAGGATACATCACTTCCCATTACACTGAACCAGCCTGGTCTTGGTACGTCTCCACAATTTGTTACACTATGTAATTCCTGCACGTTGTACTTCTGGTCCGTAAAATCTTGAGTTTTACAATATTGCCAGCAATAGCCCATCCAGAAATTGTGAGCTGTGCCTCTTTAAACTGAAAGACTAAAGGATAAATAAGACATGACGTGAAGAATGATTTTTAAGAAAGTGGAGTGGACGTAGCCTGCTGGAGTTGAAAAGTGATGGCAGCCCATCTTCTTTTCTCCTTGTTTGTAACCCGTAGGAGATACATGCTCTGGGTCACCATATATTTCTACAATATACATAAGACTATAGCTTTTTTTCAGATTTTCAGGGAGAGAAGTCTGTTTGAATGCATGAGGAGACTTCTAGGTCCATACCCCTCCTGTCACTTTTTTCATGCAGAGAGCATTGTTTCTGAACAAGAACACCTTTTCTGATACATGGGGAGTTTCCATAGCACTGGGGACCCTGAAAGTTCACAGTTCCTGATTGTGTAGAAAAGCTTCAGGTGTAGCAGTAGTTTTATTCTTCCAATTGTTGCCATTCTGTGCAAAGACCTATGAAACAGGAGCCGGGGCTAGAGCGCTCTCTCTCCTCATGCGTTTAGATTAGCTTTAAAAAGGTATTTCTTTCAACCAAGCTGTAAGAAATGTGTACAAAAGTGCATCATGGTGGAAGGCTCAATGGATAACTATTCTGTTCGAGGCAAAAATGGGGTGCTAGAACAGATGTCCAGCTACTTCACTCACAGTGGTCAAGAGCCAGATACACATGAGATTTTCCAGGTAAGGCTCACCTTGGTTTTATCTTACATTAGGCTATAGCAATGTAATGAGCCAAATTTGTGTTCATTTTTAATTTGCATTCTCCACACATTGATTATGCCCAAATACTGCAAGAAAGGCTTGTGGAGTATGAAATTGTCTGGAATTTTTTTAGTGCTCTCTTCATCTTTAACAGAGGAGAGCTGCCCTTATTCTAACTGATATCTCAACTTTTGCTTTTCCATACCATTTCCACAAAGGAAAGAGAAGGCAATTTCAAATAAGGTTTTTTTAAAAAAAAAACACCTCACTACCAGCATTCAGAAGGTACTTTGCAGATATCCTGTCCACCACCACCACCGCCCCATTATTTGACTTTCTGCGTTAAGGGATGTATCAGAACACACTACACTTGATCTTAGCCAAAAGGCTGAGAAGAATACCCTGAGTTAAGGGAAAGAACAGACAAAGGAGCAAGAAAACAAGGGAAGATTATGTGTAGAGGACAGCTTCGTTTAAAACATCATTAAAATACAGTGAATGGGACAGCGTGTTGCTGTGAGCAGAGTTTTAAAATTCCCCAGAGTTAAATCACTAATGGTAAATCATTAAATGGATCAGGAAGATGATAATTATATCACTTGCCTATAGTTCTTTTCTTGTCTGTTAGGTGAGTGGGCTACCACCTCCAGACCTAGTATGGCTTCTGAATGGCAAGCCAGTATTACCAGATGCCACACACAAGATGCTGGTCAGAGAGACTGGAGTGCACTCATTACTTATTGATCCTCTCTCACTAAGTGATGCTGGAACTTACACTTGCATTGCCACCAACAAGACGGGACAAAATTCATTCAGCCTGGAGCTTACCGTTGTAGGTAAGTCTGGTTTGTACATTCTAACAAAGAGGGGGCATAACGGCTTGCCATGCCATCTTTCAAACTTGCCATGTTGTCTTTTCGAACTTTACGAGTGTCAGCCACATTTCATGATCCACTCATAGCAGAAGGCTCCATCAGCAGATAGTGAATTTTAATGATAATGCTTATTGTCCAACTGTATTATGTTCCATGAGTGTCTAAAGCTGGATAGCCTAACAAATGTTGTTGGTGGTACTCCAGTCTCTTGAATCTTGGCCATGTTGGTTGGATGCTTGTTGGGAGCTGGAGTCCAGCAACATCTGAGAAGCTACAGTTTTCTATCCCGGCTCTATGGAAAAAGTGCTGCTAGTCCTTGTTCATCCCAGAAGGATGGGGATTGTCTCTATATGTGTCATTAACACCGCACAGAACATGGCTAGAAAATGTGTAAGCAGGGAGAACCGTTCTGGGGCATTTACTCTTGGCAACAGGGAAACCAATGGAATTCAGGGTTCAGTCCTTCACCTTCTTTAAGGGGAAGGAATCATCATCATCATCATCACAACAACAATAATAATAACAATGACAATAATAATAATAACAATAATTTTTTAAAAGGTGAGTGTCCTCATTCTTCCATTAAGAATATACATGTGTGAAGGAGGAAAGAAAAGGTGTACACACTTTTCCTGGTCTATAAGAATATACCAAATTGTACTGAGGTGGGAAAGAAACAGGAAATGAGTGTACCGTGATGTAAAAAATAAAAGGACATAAGTATTTTTTTAAAATGCATTTTATTAGTTTTTCACTCTATCTACATTTAATTTGTGCTTGTCAAACATTGTGTTACATGATCTGCTTACATTTATTTATTTATTTTACATCCAAGGGTAATCATAAGCAGTTAGTTGTAAAAATATATCTCACCCGATAATAACACCGATGTTGAATAGTTGATTGTTGCTTCTCTTATTGCCAGCTGCCAATGACTTGCAAGCAAGCTTCCTAGCTGCTTGTTTCTGCCCATTGGCTGATTGGGGAGTTTCCTGGATCAAACGGGGATGATCGCCGTCCCCCCCCCGTGATCAACAGGCTTCCCCCCCCAGTTCACCACCTCTTCGGGGTGGTTTCGACACCCTGGGGTGTCCCAAACAGGTCAGAATTCAGCCCAGGGAACAGAGCTCTGTCCTCATCCTGCTGTCTCGTCGCGGCGTCAAGCCGGTCTCCCTAAAGGAAATAAGTATTGTTAAGGCCAGCAAAACAAGGGGGAAAAATCTTTCGCAGTTCTGTAGAATGCTTGCAAATTACTGAGGAGGATGGAAAGGGAGCTGGGAACAGTAATGGCTGCATTCCCTCTGTCTGAAACCTTAGTGGGAGACCTGGAACAAGACCCCTGTATATCTTCCTCTGTTTTCCAATAGCATATCATGGCTATCCGTGAACCAGGCACAAAAAACACATGCCCCTCTTTAAAATACTCAGGTGCCAACAGTTCTCAAATTAATTTTAACTCAGTTGCTCCACCGCTAAGAGAAACTGTAGACTTTTTGCCAGCAAAAGGCAACATAGGGAATTACAATCCCCATAGGAACAGTCACCTTCCGATAACCATCTGTGGGTTCTTGCTTGGCATCCTCCCCCTGCTGGATACCTGGATGATGGCAGCCTGGTGCGAGTTCTTCTGTCACGCAGTACTATATTTTGTGAACCTCGTCCTTCCTTTTTTAAAAATGTACTGAAATTGCTCCCATTTTACTGAGCTTCTTGAAGTGCTGACAAAAAAAATTAGGTTGATTAATCATAATGTTAGATATCAACGTTTGTATTAATCATGCATCTTTTCAGAATTTTATGTAACTAGCAGCCATTAACAGTGAATAGTGCAATACCCAATTTATTATAATCACCTCACAGTCAAAGAATAGTGAGCTGGCAAAGGCTTATAATTAGCATGTTGGACTTGGGCTGGAGATACCTCAGACCATATGAAAAAGAGAGAACAGAAAGAGATACATTATGTCCTCTGCCTAAACTATATAAGAATCCCAGGATATTTTCCAGGAGGCCTCACCCCCTAGGGCCCCAGAACCAAAGAGAAATGCTTTATCTTCAAGTCAGTAAACCAGTTCTAGCCGTTTCCCCCTCTGCCACAACCTGAGGAAAGGCAACTATTCAAACATTAATACACCCACACACCCACATGCACATGGATGGGTTATCCTTTTTACATGACCTGTTGCCTGCCAGGTTTGAGACAAGCAAGCAGCCAATTAAGTGAGGGGGAAAGCCCACCTTGGGGGAAAGAGGTATTATGTGATTACCCTGCCATGCATTATTTTTGTTACCAGAAATTTTGGTGAAACTAATTGACTGTTAAAGAGCAAACTGCCACTCGTTTCTTTATGACAGGAACACCTGGGAAAATCCATTTTCCCTACCTCCTGTGAGCCATGTTCAGAGAGAACAGAGATATCTGAGGGGGGTAATAAATAACATGAAGCTGCAGCATTTCACCCTGCAAAGTACTGCTTCTACTCCCTCATTAAAAATTATCTTCCTTCAGAGAAAGCTCCTTCTAGTGAAAAAAGGAAGCATTTCCATGTATTTCATGTAGCAGCTTTAACAGGCCTAGATATAAATCAAGCTGAAATTGATGATGTTTATGACAACTAATTTCAGCCATTTTACTGAAGAAAGTGTATTTTATAGCTGTGAAATATCTCCCAAATCCATGATACCCCCATTTCTTCCAACACAGTGTTTGTAGAATCTTTTGACTCTTCACTTTTATTTATTTTAGTCTTGAGAGGACAGTGCCAAATAAGTAGTCCAAATAAGACTATGAAATCACACCCAGCTGTTTCTTCCTCCTTCTTGCAGAAAAGGAAGTTAAAAAGGCTCCAGTGATCCTGGAGAAGCTGCAGAACTGCGGTGTGCCGGAGGGGCATCCCGTCCGACTAGAATGCAGAGTGATCGGCATGCCGCCCCCCGTTTTTTATTGGAAGAAGGACAATGACACCATCCCTCCCAACAGGGAAAGGATGAGGTGGGCTTTTGAAACTAGAATTATGTCATCTCCCTTCACCCCTGCTAGTGTGTGACAAAGAGGGTTGTGGGAGATTCTCCTTCATCTCCTAGAAGACTTAAGGAACAACATGGGCTGTGTCTTTCATGAAGTATATTTTTATACATGAGGGGCTAGAGGATATGAAGCTTTATGGTTTGTTGGTCATAGCTATAGGTCACCCGATGGGTGGGGTTCTGAAGCAGAAGCTCACACGCTGGTAAACTGTGTGTATACATGCACTGGGCAGCCACTATAGGCCAGAGCGTCCCAACAAATATACATACAACAAATGTACAGTCATTATTTCTGAAATGACTTGCATGGGATTGCATTTTAGGTCACATTATTTGTGTATCGCTTTTGTTTATATACATAACATTAAAAACAGTTTGCAACAAAGCCTGAAAACAATGTAGAAATACATGGATACCTCAACAGGTAATTGTTATCTACAACATCTCTAAACACTTTCCTAGTAAACAGAAACACCCAGTAATAAATATCTCTGCTGAAATGCAGAGCACACAAAAGGAGGAGGAATTTTTAATGGCAGGAAGTGCAGTTATAAACCAACAGACATCCCAGCAAAGGCCAAATCTAGTGCACCCTCATGCCAGGGATCAATTGACTGAAAGCTGGCAGAAATCAATCAGAATCTCTTAAGGAACCAGTTAAATTTGCTAAATGTCTACAACAAGCAAAACTGTGAAGCCAAAATATTGGAAGCTTTTTTGAATGAATTCAGATCATAGTAGCAGTTTTCAAAATTTTAGGCAGAAAACCTCCCCAACCCTCCCCAGAGACTGAATTTGGAGTCCTATTCATGTGAAGCCTATGTCCCACCACTCAGCTATGGCCTTTTCTGTTTTCATGGGGTTCTTTTGTATATTACTTACAATTTAACAGTTTTTAAATAGTTGCAATACCCACAATTCTGCTCTTTGTATCATAGCATACACACTATTTCCCTTTTTTTTCCAGTATGCATCAAGATGCTACAGGATATGTTTGCCTTTTGATTCAGCCTGCTAAGAAGGTTGATGCCGGTTGGTACACTTTATCTGCAAAGAATGAAGCTGGTATTGTCTCCTGCACTGCTAGACTTGACATATACGGTAGGTCAATGTACGAAGTTAGTTTAGGAGATGTGGGTCGCATATGCTATTAGCATTGGGACAACAGCAATCCAATCCTGGATGCCTGTCTGCTCGGTTTTAGGAGAAGATTTTGCCTGTCATGTCCCATAATAATTTTGAAAACCAGACCCAGCACTTTTTCTTCTGCTACCAACAGCAATCCAATCCTGGATGCCTGTCTACGCGGTTTTAGGAGAAGATTTTGCCTGTCTTCCATAATAATTTTGAAAACCAGACACAGCACTTTTTCTTCTGCTATTCTGTTGATCAACTGAGCTACAAGGAATGTGAGTGAGGTTGCAGTGAGGTCTCACCTACCACAGAGAGGGGTGCATCACTTCACGTTATGCACTCTTGATTTAGATCACAAGATAATAGAACCGATGTTCATGAGTTATACCAACTCTGACTCATATGCCTCCATCTGGAAGCTCACTTGGATTTGGCCAGGTCCTTTTCCTCAGGAGACCCTTCACCCAGCTGATGTCTTCATCAGGGAATAGGACTGGCTTGTTCTGGCTGAGTGGAAATACCTGCGATGCCCAATGGGTGTACGAACGTCTGTGGGGAAGCAACCTGGCTAAAAAGGGTGGCCACCAAACATTAGGCCTAGAATAACAATCTTCATCAGCATTCAATTGTTGCATGAAGAATACTCTAGTGAAACGGAGAGGCCAAGTAACTCCTATAACCAACTCACAAGGGGCCAGAAGTAAAACAGGAAAAGCTGAGATGTACAATCCCAGAGCTGCCTTCTCAGGATTCCCAGTGACCAAATCCCCCTTGTTTCTCCCTCCTATCTCCTCCTGCTTCCAGGATGAATTTTTCCATTTCTCTCTCTTTTTTAAGTGAAACACTTTTAAAAAGAAGTTCACTTTCTTGTCCCCTCCTCAGAGCAGCCACTCAAGCCATTTCACAATACTGGGAGATGGACAGCAGGCTGCTGAAGACCAAAATAGGGTTCCTTGAGGTCCCTAAGCTATTTGGATGTAAGGATTGTACCAAACAACATACCGGGTATCCTAGCAACCCTATTTAGCCCACAATGGCCCACTCCAGCAAAGCCCTTGTGGCCAAGCCCTTGAACATGGGAGCATTTGACAACCACCCTGAACTAAAACTAAAAGCATCATGTTCACATCAGATCTTAGGTTTTCTCTTTTAAAATAGGGTTAGGGATTTTATCAGTTTTTTAATATATGATTGAAAAGACCTGTCAGAGATTTGTGGCTTATATTCCTGTGTTTTTGTTGTTTCAGCTCAGTGGCATCAGCAGATTCCTCAGCCCATAAAGATTCGTCCTGGTGGCACCCGATATGCAAATCTGAGTGGGCAAGGACTCGACATTTTTTCTGCTTTCTCTCCTGTTGAGAATTCCATGCGGCTCTCATCACCGTCCCAGCCTGTGGTAGAAAGTGATGAACTTTAAGGAGAAAAAAAAACTGTTTCCAAGACTACCTGCAACAACAAAGTGAATACATGCCCGAACTGTGAAAAATAACGGAAGGCACAAGCCAAGAGATTCAAGGTTTACAAGCAACTTGTATTTATTGAGTACCTTAATGTTGCTGAAACTTCCACTAGTAACAAGGCCTCAGTGCAGCATCATAACGGGGGGGGGTGTCATTATAGTATAGAACATACTGCAGTAAGTTCCATGCTGTGCTGTTTTTCCCAAGTGTTCTGAGAGAAGGTGACATCATTTTCAGCTGTTAAAAGAAAAAGATGCACCACTTCTTACTGCTTGGATTCAAAAGCTACGGTACCTTAAACAGGCAATGGTAAGAATTTTGGATTTCCAGTGAAAGGTACCAATAGAAGTATTTATGCTGTGATAATTCAGAAGAGGGCAAGCCACATAACATTTTTAAAGTATCTTTTAAAAGTGACTGACAGCCACAAAGTCAAGGGCAAGGATAAAATGTCAAAGGCGATCTACAAATTCAAAAAGATCAGTTAAATGGAAGTATGTTATCAGCAAGAAATCTGGCAACTCAAACCTAGATCAATCTGGCATTGCAAATAGATGCCATCATATGCAATAGAACTTTAATGTGTGAGCTTATAGTCCATGCATCAGGTACCCACAAGCCAAGGGGGACTGAATCTTGTTGTAAGGCACCATGCATATATTGTGGGTATAAGCATGCAACTAAGGGTGTCATCCTATGCCTGCTTTGCTGGGAATAGGCCCTACTGAACTTTGTGGGACTTACTTCTGAGTAGGCATGCACTGTGAACAGCTTATATCCTACAAAACACATATGACATAGTCACCACAGCTACCATTGCTATATATACATTTTTGAAGTGCGCCTAACTGTTCTTTTTCCATTCTAGGAATTCACTATTTTAAATGAACACACAGCATACAGGTTATTTTTGGTTCATTGCTTTTAGGATATGAATTTCTTTTTCATCCCAAGATTTTGATAGTTGGATATGTATGTATGTATGTATGTGTATGTATAATATAGATATAATTATTTAAGCACAGTGCTCAGAATGGGTTGCAATGTCATCCCATGCTTTCAGGATACAGTACATTATTCTCTGCCTTTTCTCTTCCCACCTGAAAGATCACCTCTCTTCCTCAAAAAGATCCCACTTTCTCCTCCTCCTCTGAAATCATCTCACATCCATGAAAACCATCTCACTTCCCCCAGACACACACTTTACTTTGGGCACTGATAATATACACATATATACACACAAAGAGTAATTAATTTCATATTTGCAGTAACTAAGGCATAATAATGTCATATTATGATTGCAGTTTAACCAGGGTAACATTACTCTTTTTGTTGTATAATTGCTACTTTCAGTTACTTTTGTAGTTGCAGAGTTAGGACCTCCCTGAATGGCACAAAGAAGGTATTACAAGGCTGAAATTCATGCTTTGCTGTAGGTGTGGGTGGGAGAATGTACTTTGAACCAGAAGTCAGAAGCTTACAGCATTACAGCATTAACTTCAGACAACGATTTTAGTTACATCTGAGAAACAAGAAAATAAAAGCTACTTTTTAAAATGTAACTATAATTACTACATTAGTTAGTTCTGTTAGTCCATGGAACTGGAATTTAACTGATTACTTTTTAAAGTAACTTTCCAAGCTCTGTATTCACAGAAGAGAAAAACATTACCACATATATGTTTCATACTAAAGAAAAAGGAACTACAGTACAACCATGCCCAATCAAATCTATTTTAGTTTCCTTTGGATGCTGGTGGAGTTTTCTCTAATTAAAACATGTAATCAATTATTCACAATTTAGGGAAACCGTTTTGCACTTAGTTAAAAAAAGCAATATTATTAGGCAATGGTAAAACAAACACATGTAAATAATATGTATTCAAAAGGAAAAAAAAGATCTTTAATACTGCAGCTTCTAATCAGTTTATCTGTACAGTGGTGCCTCACTTAGCGATCGCTCCGTTTTACGGCAAAATCGCTTAGCGATGGACTTTTTGCCATTGCCAGAGTGATTGCTTAGCGATGGCTCCTATGGGTAAAAATCGCTTTGCGATGATCGCGGGGACGTGATCATGGCAAAGCGCCCATTTTTAACAGCTGATCGGCGGTTCCAAAATGGCTGCTGGAAAAACAAAATGGCCGCCGCTATGGAGGATTTTCACTTACAGGTAAGTTTTTAGCCCATAGGAACGCATTAAACACGTTTTAATGTGTTCCTATGGGCTTTTTAAAATCGCTTAGTGATTAAATCGTTTAGCGATGTTTTTTCCTGCACGGATTAACGTCGCTAAATGAGGCACCACTGTATTTCTATTTTATTCATTACCAACTCTCCATTAAGCCTAGGGAACATGTTTGCAAAGACCTGCACAAAGCACAAAGATAATACTGCTGTTAAGTATATCTAGTGTGATATAGTGGATAGAGTGATGGACTAGGCCTCACAAGATATGGGTTTGAATCCTGGCTTGGCCATGAAAACTCACTGGGAGGCGGAGTAGAACTGGTAAAACCACTCCTTTGTATCACTTACAGAGAAATCCCTATTAGGGTTGCCAGAAGCTGGTTCCAACTTAACTGCACATAACACACACATGCTGTTGGTGCCAGACTGTCAGATGTCTGTATCAACTGCATGAACTGTTCAGAAAAGGAAGATTACTGAATTCAAATCAAAACCAGGAAGTGAACAGTCTCTCCTTTTTTGTACTGACGGTAACCCCTCACCCACAATTCATGAGCATTAATCAGAACTTTCATCCGAGGGATTGAAGGATTTTCATCAAGTCTGCCGAGGATCCTAATAATTCTGCATTGTCCAGACGTAAGAACCTGGGAGTTCCTTTGGCTAAAAGTAAACAAAGGAACTTATCTACAAAGACTTTGTAAGAGCACTGAGTTCAAGAGCTGAATACAAATAAGGAACAGTTGGCTCTTCAATACAGCTTGGGGTCCTGATGGCATTTGATGTAGGGAAACAGAACAAAATATTGCCCATTGAATTCCATTGCTCAGTTGAAGGTGTCTGTCTGCCACATAACAGATGCATGTAACAGATTAAATGCCTTCTGTTCCCTATACTCCCTTGTGAGCCTCTTCAGTCTAGAGAAGTGGGGGTGGGAGTCTAGAACAAACTGGGTGATTTTGATCAGAAGGAGGAAAGAAGGGAATGGAAACTTCCCTCACCTCAGTGGAAGTTACTTTGCATCATGTTGAATGTATTGCATGGCTAGCTAGCAGGAAGGCCGATTCTCAGCTCTGCATATTGTAATACCATTCAAGTCAATGCCATTGAAAAGCATCTTCTCAGATGTGTTATAACTGAGACCAGAACTGGGATTCTCCTAATTAATGACCACCATAACATCAAGTTCTGCCGTTTACACTTCAGCAAAAAGCCCAGTACTTTTCTAGTGGGACGTCTTTCTACTAAGTTTGGAGAGCAGAATGTGGTGACAGAGCAGCTTAAACTGAACACGCTTTCTAGCTTTGAGGACTAGGTTTAAATCTTGCTTGGAATATAGTAATATGAAATTAATTATAATTTTTGATTGTCCACATCAAGGAACTCCTGAGCGCAAAAGCTTGTTTCGTACCAATGATGCCATTGCATCCTTGTTTGTCTTAAAACGTTTGTGGGGAGAGGGATAAACTATGTTTTTATGAAACTACTGCTTGAGGCACAAATACTGTGCATTATCTTGGCAGTGGGCAGCATTCACGAAGGCATGTATATGGTACAGGGGTTTGCCACAATTCAGTAAACAACATTTATATAACAGTGCCAATGTGATATTGGTGAATTTTGAAGGGCAGTTACTTATCATGACAGTCCCCATCGCCATGCCCCCAAGCAGAGTCCCAAAATGCTGGCTGCTCTGTTCAGCCGTACCAGCCAACCTGTTCTAGCCATTTTCATTTCCATCAGAAGCAGATTTTTGATACAGGGAGGGTAGCTTTATTGCCCATTCATGACCAAGAACTGTTACATACTTTCCTGTTTCAGCAGGAATAATAGGCCACAATATATTATTCCAGTTTCCTCCTCAGCTGAACCCAAAGAGAACTGAGAGGCCTGCCATGTTGGGGGAAGGGAGATGGCCTCATTTTCACTGCTGAGCCAAACTTTCCTACACTCTGAACTCCAAAACACCACTAATAAATAATCTAGAAAAAATGGTTAAAGTCTGAAATTCAGAAACACATCAATGAGAGTTAATAATCACTTAAAATCAAGTGCCATCATTTGCTGGCATACATCTGGGGAATGCAGGACACACACAGAGGTCTTCACTAAAATATTTTGGAATTGTTAGCATTCATTTATGTACATCAACATTCAGCAAATTCTGGACATTCACTGAAATAATGGCTAATTTAAATTCGATTCATTTCCACAGAATGTAATTGTGACTGAGTTTTGCCCAGCTGTTCCCAATATGTACAAATCTCTACCCAGTCTTGAATGATAGCAACTGAACAGGTCTCATTTAGTGAAGGAAAGACTGTTGTGGAGTCGCTGATACTGCAGAAAGCAGGTGTATCTGCTTGTCTTCTTCTGCACAAGATGGCAACTTTCATTTCATTAAAGGAAACCTAAACTGACTTTGCAATGTAAACATATCTGTTTGCCTTATGTAGCAAAAAGCCATTCCTACAAATGATAGCATTTCCATCTTGGCAAAATGAATTCCCTTTTAAACCCTTGCTTAGGATTTTATAGAACTCACTTAAAAAGCATGCTAAATAGGTATTTGATAGATGAAATGTAATACATGAAAAAAGAATGAGTAAAACCTTACTGTATCTGTCGGGTGGAGAAAATTCCTCCTTCAGCTCCAAAACTCCCCTAATCCTTGGGGGTGGGGGTGGGTGGGTGAGCCCCTTGAGCAGATTAAGAGACATTCAGGGGGCTATTGGGGCTGGAGATAGGATAGGAAAGTCCATTGTGTAGGCAATCTGCTGTAGCCTGTTTGTGTAACAAGGCAGCCCATTGAATTTTTGTTGCATATTTTTGATATACAGTATTTATTCCATATCTGGCTCCTTGTCTAAGTGTCCTGAGATAACAAAGATCTTGGGCAATCTAAAAGACACCAAGGAGCAGCATTTTGTTTCTGAGAACAGAAGGAAAGAAAAAAGCAGGAGTCTATAAAGCTGTCTAAATCTTAGGTTTTTGTGTTCCAATAAAAAGATGTTATGAATGGATTTATTGCTACAACAGCACAGCACGAAAAACACCATGTTATGAGGCCAAAATGTAACTGCTTTGAAAGGCTTTGAAGGTAAATATTTAAGGCTGAATCCAGTTTTTAGTCCCAACTGGAGTATATTTGCAGCTACTTATGAGTCTAACTAATGGAGGAGTGATGACTTGTCACTGATTTAGTGGATCCGCCCAAGGATCTGTAGATCTGTGGGACTCGCTGCTTGATTTATGTCTCAATATTGTGAAGCTAGCATTGGACAACAAAGAGCCAATGAATCAGTGGTTCTTATATAGAGGCAGAACAAGACATGGGAAATGACAGTAGAACTACAAATGTTTCTGAAAAAGTCAGTTACCCAACATCTGCTCTGAAAAATGTTAAAGAGTCCATGAAATCCAATATATAATATAAATTATGGATTTTTAAAAAAAGAAAATCAATTAAAATAATGCCTGCAGGATTAAAACACAGTTCTCTAAAGTGGTATTTTATACCTAATATAAACAGTAACAGAGTTACTAGCGGGGAGGAATTAATAAAACATTGTTATCTGTTAAATGAAATACAGCTTAAGTCAAGGGCCTTATGTTCTACATCATAAAGTTGCTATTTTTCCACAAAAATGATTTTTTTAAGTTGTGATAATAATATGAAGTTATATACCTTAAACAGAAGGTGGAGGTGATAAATGTTCCAATGAGAAAGTATATTTTAAATGCATATAAATGCCAGACTGTTCAGCAAATGTGTTTTCCATCATTCATTAAATAAATGCTTCAGAATTGCTTTGTGTGAGTGTCTCTTTGACTGTGCCCTCAGGGCTAAAGACAAGTGTAGGGATTTGACTTTAGAAACTAGCAAACGATCACAGTAATTTCAGGCAAAGAATTTATTTAGCATTTGGTGCAAAACATCTTTCCTAAAAATCTGCAAGGGAGATCCGTGCGGGGAAATAAATGTGGTTCTATGCCCTAAATCTCATTCTGTATCAGAAATGGCATGTGCAGGTCAACTAATGTGAGACAACTCAAGAGGGTGTCCCTCTAGAATGTGGGATGTTTACTATTATTTGCCTCACCTGGTGTGGCACCGAGAAAAAGAGGAGGCTACACCAAATTTGCCTGCCAGACATTCTGAGTGCACTTGTCTCACATCGTTTTTGATCAAGAGTATTATAATACCCAGCCATATTCAAAATAGTCACTATCTTGGACCATCTTTGACTGTTTAGTTTCATTCACCTTACAGCCAAAGTAGTAGCAGTGTTCTGGTTCCTTTCCTCATGATAATAAGCAAATAGTTTTTGCACTTCTGCATTCAAAATTCCAGTTTTGTGAATAAAATTCATTATGGTTTGAATACCTATAAGTCAGGTAATACAATTGGCATGCCATTGTATATAATAAGAATTCTTCTCAGTTTTCACTCTGGTAAAGTACTTGAGGGTGGTGTCTTTTCTCTCTCACTACTTTAAATCTTCCTTGTCTGGAGAGGACAGTGGGATGAAAGACAAAGAAAGCATTTTTGTATGTACAGAGAAGGCAATAACATCCCTAATATTCAAATAAGAATTACTGTATAGCAGATTATATAATTCTGTTTAAATTGGCATTATTTGGATTTTCAAGTAAAGCTGCTACTCCTTTATAGCTGAATAAATTATATGAGTGATATGGGTTTATTTATATATCTATTTATTTAAAATATTTCTACCCCACTTTTGTCCTTTAAAAGGACCCAGAATGGCTTACATCTTTGTAACACAAAACAAATAAAGCCACCTATTCATGACAGTTATGACAGCAGTCCAGAAACTGAGCTTATCATTTATATCTTGGAGCAGCTGGTGCTGCCTAACTTTGTTGACTACAAAGCCCATCACTACGGGCAGCAATTGCCCTGCTGGTTGAGAATGATGAGCATTGTGTTCCACCACAGTTGAAATGCACCATATAACTGTTGAAGATTGCCAGAGAAAGAGAGAGTACATTATGGACTAGCAGATTTATATATAAGGCAGCATTTGTTCAGATACTTTTTCCTTGGTCAGTTCCTTAGGACGGTAAATTATTGTGATGAGGGTTCTAGAAGCAACAGCCAATCACTAGTGAATTTTTATTTACACTGCAGCTACAAAGAACCAAATGTTATTAACTCACAAGCCTCCTTCCTCTTGCCACTTTCAGTAATATTAAAACACAGAAGACACATGCTGTGCCAAAGCACCAGGAAGCAAGCAGACTGCCAGATGTTGGATTGCTACTCCCATCATCTCTCTTCATAGAGGACTGATGGGAGTTGCAGTCCAACAAAATCTGAAGGGCCACACGCTGCCTATACCTGCTACACTAGCTAGGCAATCAGCTCTCATTAAAATGCTATGTGATACACAGCTCGCCATTTTAATACATCTTGTTTATGTGTTAGATTCCTACCTTAACTTTGAGAGACAGCTGTTATTTTCAAAGATATTGATGATCAGGCAGGAAGGTGCATGCATCATTAGCACAGATCCATAGTACAACTCATCCTGATGTCTAAAATAGTGGCCACAGTATGCAACTATTTATTTTGCAAATATATGAGAGGAAGAAGAAGAAAAGAATCATAGGATGGTGGTTTTGCTTCACACTCAGTTCAGCGTTATTGTATCCATATATTGTGTAACCCAAGGAATCAAAGACAGGGAAAAGTTTGATGGTGGTTTCTTATGAGATGCAGGGGGAAACTGCCTCCTGATTATAAGACATGACAATTAAAACTACCTTTAAACCAAGCAAATAGTGTGACTGTGTTACTTTTGATATCCAAAATCTAAAGGAGATATTCATAGTAACATTTCTAGTATGGCATAGTTAACTACACATTGTAGGATGATTCCTACTTTTTAAAAGTGAAAACAATTTATATGAGAAAAAAAGTTTATTTTACAGTTTACAAAATTTCATTATCCTTCAAAGAAACAGAATTATATATACAGTATATATATATATTTAAAAACACAGTACCATAACTTGCACATACTAAAAGATCTCTACTTTCATGCAATTATTTTAATCATGTCATGTGAACTACCTCTGTCTTTACAATCACCACAAAGAATGTTTAAGCATTCTAAATAAATTGTTTGAAATTAGCTCTCTTCTGAGCATACACCACAGAAACTGTGAGTTGAAGACAAGTTAAACCTACACAATTTGGGCTGAAGAATCTTTTATGGCAAACTTACAAAGTTTAAGTTACTTCTTTAAGCAGTCTAAAGCAAGGGGATTATATCTGTCCCCATGCAGTGAATTAAACCAGCAGCCTGGATACCACCCTGAGTTGTCCCTTTTGACTTTCTTCAATACATTCTAGTAAAAACATGGTGTGCTAAGTCATACATTAACTATGAAATATGTTCAAAATATCAGAACACGAAACAAAACAGGTGATGCATGCTTCATGGCTAATAAAGGAGGAGGAGGTGTGATTTGCATCAATAGATCGCATTTGACAGTGTTCCAGACCAATTTGTTTTAATGAGGCTGGTATTTTGCAGTCAAAGAATAAGAGTACCCCAGCTAGAGATTACCTTTAGTTCCTGCACCCAGTTTTTGTTTTTGTAAAGAATGACCCATCTTGACCTGCATGAGTGCGCTGTGATCTGAGTGTCCATTTAATAGTGATCAGACGGGAAGCTGAAAAGCCTCTGTGCATATGGATCGATTTCAGCAGCGGCCACTTTCTGTCCCGTATAAGCCTGGTGGCAGCTCTCTTGATGGAAGTGCTCGCAGTGGAAGTTAATCCAATCTTTCTCTGTGCTGTATCTCTCAGCCTCTGAAAGGATCCTTGTCAGGGCCATGATGTAACTCAGGGCCATCTGAAGGGTTTCGTATTTGGAGAGCTTTTTGTCCTGTCCCCACTGGGGGACCACTTTGCGGAGGCGGTCAAAGGCTGTGTTGAGCCCCTGCATGCGCCTCCTCTCCCGGGCGTTAGCTGCCAGACGACGCTTCGCCGCATTCTCCAAGCGTTCAGAGCCACATTTGGCTGCACAGACTGTCCCACTTCTGCACTGGACGTCTGTTTCCAGTCCTGAATCCATGCTGTTGTTCAGTTGGCAGGGTTTCATGTGGGGTGCTTTTTTTTTTTTTGTAGTCAAGAAATAACAATGTAGACAAGAAATGTGATAGCAAGTAGAAAAACGTCTGGTTTATATCACATATATATTTCAAGGGGGGAAACAGGGTCCAACAAGATTAGCTTGTTTTCACAAAGAGCAACACCCCACAATGGCCAAAGAGCAGTGCAGGTTGAAATGGTCCCTTGATTCTCAAATCAGACTGAAATCTGGAACGCGCCTCACAATGAATTCGATCTTTTTATTCTTCTTCATTTCTTTTGGTCTGTCCAAGAAAGGGAAACAAACAGCACACGACTCCAAAAGGGAGGCAAATGGGGAGAGTCCATATAATCCAAGAATTTTTGTGGGTAGCGAACACAAATTTGGAAGGCAAAAAAAAAATAGTCTGTTCCAATGGACAAGGTATTAACACTGGGCTGAGAGAAAAAGAAATTCCCAGTGGTTCTCTTTCAGGATCGCCTCTTGTTTGTGATGATAACGGTGCTGTCCTGGAGTTAAGTGAGGGGGAAGCTCTTGCTCCTTCTTCATCTACTAGTGGTGGTCAATGAGCATAAGTTACAAGGAAAGGACGTCTTTATAAAAGCAACACCACAAGCAGAACAGGTGGCAGCAGGTGGGTGGGCGGCCCCTCTATCTCCATCCCAGCACCTTCCCACCCTGGGAACTACACACACACCCAGACACACACAAGCAAAACCGTTCCAACAAAATCCTGACATTGCAGGCTTCCTCTGTTGAAAAGTCTCCCCAAGCCTTGTCTGTCCAGGACTAACAGTTTGCCATCTGGAGCAGTGTCTGGCTGGCCCCACAAGAATCACGACAGCTAAGCAAAAGGTCTTTGCAGTGAATAACCTTCTGCGGCTCAGCAAAAACCTTTCCTGACACATCACAGTGTCAGGTTTGCGTGCCTGAAAGTGCTTGGGTGGGAAAAGAAACTGTTAATAAGGGTATTTGAAACCAAGAGGAAGAGAATGTGTTCAATCCTATATAAGACAAACACCGAGACCCCACTGAAAAAAAGAGACACATGCAAAAGGGTCCAGAGAGTTGCCCCATTGCCACTCTGTGTAAAAGAAGAGGTGTAATATTTCAGACAGCATCAAAGAATCTTAGTAGTTTGTGTTTATTATAGAGAATATTCTGCTCACACATATTTGGATGGCACTTTCAACAGATATGTGTTGTGCTATTTCAAATTCAAAAGTACGTTTAGAGATCAGCCTTCCAGTATACCAGGAGAATGTAAACTGCAGGTAAATATTGATACATGTTAAATCTTGTACCAAAAATGGATATAAACATATTTTCCCCTGTAGTAATAAATCAATGGAAATCCAGTAAAAGATTGTTTAGTGCTTGTTTAGACACACACAATTCAAAAGTTAATTGAAATAAATCAGAATGGGACAAAAGTCAAGAAACAATATAATTACCATGTGTTAAATGATAATCATATACTCAGAGATTCAAAAGCATCTTTGTAAACTATTTTAGTTATATGAGCTAAATGTTTTTTTAAAAAATTGTTAAAAATTTATTTCCTCTTCAAAACATACTGTGAGCCAGAAAGCGAAACTGTGAAGTTTAATAATAAAAAAATTGTATCTAATTAAATTATTACCAAGTATGCATGAATAAGTCATCTTTTCATTCAGACTTATAACATGGTGTCTTGATCTAAAACTGTAGACCAATTGTTTCCATTATGACTCCAAAACATCATGTGGTCGCAAACAGTTGATTAATCCTTCACAGAGGCAATGACAATGAATGAAGTTGACTAATCTGGAAACAATGGGATGCTATTGAACATTAGTGGACTCCGGCATGACAGATGTTGGACCCAGCCTGCGAGGCAGGACCACTCTGTGCCCTAAATGGCCTTGTTAATGGATGGGTAGGTGGGTGGAAAAGAGTCCACATTATTCCATTAGCAAAAAAGCTGATGCTTTTTGCACTTAAAAAAAAAAAAGGATTACATATACTGTATTCTGGTTCCAGGAAGTCACCTTTTTCTTTTTGCTGTGCACAAATACAATTCATTCTATCATTTCAGAAGTTCTACCCTTGCTGTGTTTCAGCGATGCTTTCCCTAATGACCATTTGTTGTTCCCTTGATCTCATGAGTCAACACATAAAAGTTGTAGCAACGTCAAGACTCACATAAAGCTGCTAAGTTTTTTCCCCTCCAGAGGGTGAAAACTGGATTTAAATTCCAGTGTATAATATCATTCTATATTTCAGCATGAATAAAAACTGCATGGGTACACACAATTTTCACACACAGAGAAATTATGCATTTGGTTTGGAAGGCATGCCGAGAAATCCAGTTGTGACTTTGCTCTGCACCACATGCTGAAACGCCACCTCTGGGTGGTATCATGATATCATACCTAATAAAACTGTGATTGATTCTTATTTACCCCCTTGAGGTTTGCTATTGTTTGGATCAGCTTCTGAGGTCTTTTATTCCTTCAGGGTTGCTTTTTCCGAGGCTTGTGCATGCTAGGTTTCTAGATCAAGTCATGTCTTCTTGGAAACAAGAATTTTTAGAAACTATGAGCTGCAAATGTCAAAGGGCATTGTATGTGGCATGTTACCAAGTAAATGAAGGAAGTGCAACAGTAGGGAAAGTTACTTTTAGAAAGAATTAGCTACAGTTGTATTTCCAAGAACCACAAAGGACTTGGTTACTATTATCGCTGTCAGTTTTAAAAATAACAGCCACTATATTTCTGTTTCTCACGAGCAAGTCCTTATGATTACTTTTTTTAAAAAATTGAACATTGGCAGTCTACACCTCAAAACACCCTCTTTCATAGTCACCTCAGTACCCACAACGGAGCAGAGGTAGCAGCACAAGCCAGCCCGAGAGGTGTTAAGATTTGCCTCCACTACTGTTTAATGGGCCCACACCTGTAAACATGAAGGTAAATAAAAATTAACAACCACATCACAAAATGAGATTATAGTTTGTTTTGTGACAATCATTATGCAACTACGTTCTCTTCATTACTGGAAAAAAGAATTAAATACAAGTTACTAGCTGCCACTGGTTCATTCTAGGTTCTGCCAGGCAAGAAAAGGGAGGAACATGTGTAGCTCAAGCCAAATGCCTATATTTCATTCATGGAAGGAAAACAAAGGAATGGGAAGGAGAAAGGCAAGCGTAATGGTCAATAGAAATGAGCAAATGCAGTTCATGTCCTTAGATTTCTTTTCAGGTAAGGCTAAGAAAAGTTGATTCAGAACCCAAAGGTATTTAGGGTGGGGTGGGGAGAAATCATTCTGCCATCCAGCATTGTGACATCCATCTCAGTGGAATTGCTTGGAGTTTTCAAAATGTATATAAATCTGACCTGTGGCCTGACTCAGCAGGAGTCACGTCCAGCAAGGTGGAAGGTTCCAAGGCCACTCCAGAAAAGAAATGGAGACAGAACTAGGATCCGAAACAGACAACATCCAATTCCAGAAATATCAAATTCCAGAGCAGGTCACAGCTGGAAAGCCATGGGCATAACGTGGTCAGATGTGGACTAAAATGAATTCCAAGACTAAAGTGGAATCACAAAGCCTGGCTCCCAGCACTGAAAAAAATATATCCTGCAAAAAGGTCAACGAACTCTGCCCAGCCACAAGGACCAGTGATCACTGCACACAAAAGACTAGCTAACAACACCCATCAACCACAGTGACAGATCATATCCTCCTTACCACAGCAATACACCCATAAGAAAAAACACCCTGATCACCATAATCACCCAATCTCCTGAAAAGGACAAAAAGCTGATCCCACAGCTAAAAACACTCAACTATCCCACACACTACACCAGAACACAGACAGAGTAATAACTCCTGTCCTCTGAAGATGCCAGCCACAGAGACTGGCGAAACGTTAGGAAGAAAAACCTTCAGAACATAGTCAAGCAGTCTGAAAAAACTTACAACAACCATGGAATCACAGTCACTTCTTCAAGCTGCCTAGAGTGGTCTTATAGGCCAGATGGGCAGGGTATAAATCAAATAAATAAATAAAATAAAGGTAGTTCCTTCCTATGCCTTGTTGTAGGGTACAACTAAGCATGCAACTGCATTGGAAAATACTTTTCAGTCGGCTCTGGAATTGGCATGAGTGAATTCAAAGTATTTTGTAGTGGTCACATGACATAAAGGTCAATGCGAGTCAGCCTATCCTTTTTTCTTCCAAACTGGATTTTTTTCCCTTTGCCTTTCGGAGCTGCTCCTTACTTCTAGCCACAGCTATTGGAATGGTGGGCTGCGTGTGTGGTTGTTTGTTTCATTCTACAAAAGAACTGAGGGGATGAGATTTTGGACGATGTGTGGTTGTTTGTTTCATTCTACAAAAGGACTGAGGGGATAAGATTTTGGACGATTTTCTGGCAATGTAGTAAGTTGGGGCCTGACATTTTGCGAGAGTGGGAACACCTACTCCAAAGAGCTTTCTCCCTAGTTGCCCAAAGTATTTTTTTAAAGACAAACTATTGAGTTAGCACTAGATCACCTTATCGCTGCATTGCAACATTAGATTAGCACTAGATCACTTCTGTACAGACATTTTTAAAAAGCTAAATCTTGATATAAAATCAAAAGAGCTCTATTGAACTCTAGTAGACCACAATGTTTCTACTGTATGTGTGTATATTTGTACAGGTATTGAGAACTTCAGAAATCTGACCCTTTTTAATATACCATCATGCAACCCTTTAAACAGTTCTGGTGGCTTGCTGGCTGACCATAAACTGAGAGCTGGAGATTGGCAAGGGAGTGGTATCAAAGGAAGGGGACTGTAGGAGTGGATTGGACTGCTTTGGGTTGGGAAGGCTGGTGTGGACACTGGTGCCCAAACAACTTGGATTCTTTGTGTGATCACCTAAACCAAATGCAGTCACAAAAGGGACTGTGAATCAAGGCAACACAAAGCCAAATCACTTTGATTCAGGTTGCCAATGTAGTCTCTCACCTGAGTT